ACTGTGTTGTTTAGTTCCTCTGTATCTTTGTTGAGTTTGGAAATCTGGTCATTCTGTCCTTTTTCAAAAGTGGTGTATGAAATCCTCCCATTATTGTAGATGTGTCTGTTTCTTTCTTCAATTTTATTAGGGTTTGCTTTATGTATTTGGGGGGCTCTTTTGTTGAGAGCAAAGATATTTACTATAGTTATGTCCTTTTGTTCAACTGGTGACTTAATCAGGAGATAATGTCCTTCTTTGTGTCTTTTGTTGGTTTTTGTCTTAAAGTTTATTTTATCAGAGATTAGTATTGCTACTCTGGCTTGTCTTTTATTGTAATTAGCTTGGTATATTTTTCTCCATCCTTTAATTTGTAATCTATATTTGTCTTTGTATGTAAGGTGTGTCTCTTGTGGACACCCGTTTTCGTATCCATTCTGCCACTCTCTGTCCATTGACATTCAGTGTAATTATCACTAGGTATACATTCATTGCTGTCATTATGCTGTTTGTTTTCTGTGGCGCCGCTGGTTTCTTTGTTCTGCGTGCTTTCCTATGCTGAGTTCATTTTGTTTGTGTGCTTTTTCTTGTCAATTTCTTCATAGTTTTAATATTTCCATGTTCTTCTTGGATTTTTTCTTTTCTGGATATGTTGTAAAGTATGAATATCCTATTAGTCTATTAATTTCTTCCTCCTTTTATAACAGTCTGTTTTATCCTGAACTCTACCTGACCTCCTTACCACATGATCTCTGTTCCTCTACTTTTCCCTTCTTTCACATTATAATTGTTTTGATCATAGATTGACCTCCCAGATCCCCTCATTTCATTCTTGTAGCTTTGTTTTGCTCTGGACTCTTCCATCTCGCAACTGAGTTCCAGGTAGTATTGCCATGTATGTCAATCTCTGATTGTTGTCTGCTCTTATTGGTTCTCAGACCAAAGAACTCCCTTTAGTATGTTTTGAAGTAATGACTTGGCTTTCACAAAATCTCTTAATTTCTGTTTATTATGGAATGTTCTGATTTCATCTTCATATGTGATTGACAATTTGCTGGGTATAAGATTCTTGATAATTTTTTTTCTTTCAGAGATTTGTATATGCCTTCCCATTGCCTTTTTGCCTGCATGGTTCCTACTGAGAAATCAGAGCTTAATCTTATTGGTTTGCCTTTGTAGGTAGCATTTCTTTTTTCCCTATCTGCTTTCAGGATTCTTTTCTTATCTTTGATTTTTGGAGAGTCTAATTATGAGATGTCTTGGTGATTTTATTTTGGGTTCTAACCTGCCTGGGATTTGCTCAGCTTGAATGCTTATCTTCTTGTCTTTCAAGATGTTAGGGAAACTTTCTTCCAGCAGTTCTTTGACTACTTCTTCTGTCTTGTTTTTATTTTTATTCTTCCTGTTCTATCACTCCAATCACCCATAGATGATTCTTCTTCATGTTGTCCCACACAAATCTTAGGCTTTCTTCAGATTTTCTCATTCTGTTGTCTGCTTGTTCTTCTATCTTAGCAGTATTGAGAGATTTGTCTTCCATCTCATTGATTCTGGCTTCTATTGCATCAATTCTACTCCTTCGCCTTTTCAGAGTATTGTCCATTTCAAGTATTTTAGCACTGATCATCTGGATCTCTTTTTGCAGATTTTGTATCATCTCCAATGCTATATCTGTTTTGTTTGACTGTTCCTGTAGCATTTTTCTGACTTATTTCTTATTTTCCTTGACCTTTCTGTGGAACATCTGGATGCACCTCAATATCATTCTCCTGAATTCTGTATCAGGCAGTTCCAAAGTCTGCCATTCTTCTATCTGGCAACATTCTGTATAATCCTTCCCAATAGCCTGTTAGCAAGTGAGGTCACAAAACTCAGTCATTTTTATAAAACATTAAAAAAAATCTTAATTATCCTTACCTGAAAATTTCCTGTGTCAACTCGATACTGGTACATTGGATCATGTAATTCATTAACTCTGAAAAAATGATTTTTTGAAAAAAATTATATATTAATATGGCTTTACTTTTTATTTTATGATTTTTCTCACCTGACTTTAAATATACATATATACATACACATATATATGTGTTGTTGTTAAGTGCCATCGAGTTGGTTCCAACCCATAGCGATCCTGGATAAGGTTTCCATGGAACAGCTGGTGAGCTTGAACCGCCAACCTTGCAGTTCAAACAGCTTTGCAGTCTGGCGCATTAACCCACAGCGCCACACCAGGACTCCTACATATAATATATGTACATACATATAAATATAAAGAGCTCTGGTAGCGTAATGGTTACGAATTGGGCTGCTAACCTCATGGTCAGCAGTTCAAAACTACCAGCTGTTCCGCAGGAGAAAGATGAGGTTTTCTGCTCCCGTATAGATTTATAGCCTCGAAAATTCTGTACAGGGTCGCTATGGGTCGGAATCGACTCCACAACACTTAACAACATATATATATATATATATAATCCTTGAGCATACACTACTTACTAATTAACGGTAGAAGGTTTTTAAAAAGCAACTCTAAATATATGCAAAGTCATTAATTTCCCATTTGCAGTGCATATGATATTCCTAACCTAGCCGTCTGGTCATGGTCCGCAGCATTTTTTGTTCGAAAACAACAAGACAATGTTTCTCTGGCAAGGAGCTCTGATAGTGCAGTGGGCTAAGTACTGGACTACTAACTGAAATCTGGCAGCTGGACCCCAGAGAGAAGATGGACAGCCTCAGAAAACACAGGGCAGTCCACTCTGGACTGCAGACCGTTCGCTGGGAGTCAGAATTGGCAGCAGTGAGTCTTGGCTGCTCTGATGACTGCACAGTTGTGAGCGCTGTTTGCCACCCTTTTCATGGCACACCCACTGGGGCACCAGGAGTGGGGAGCACACAAAGGAAGGAGCTGTGAAGCTGAATTCATTTCAGAATGCAAACAGGCAATGGGGGTGAGGTGGGCGGGATGGGCCTGGGGAAGGAGGAGTCAGCCTGAACATTACACTAGGCCTGGCAGGTGCCATCACCCGGACATGGGATGCTCCAAGGACCCTGTGTGGTGACTAGGGCTATTCCCACACAGGCGGCTGCTGTAGTGCCACCTCCCAGAAGGACAGAAGTGCCAGGAAGAGCAGCACTCCGTGGGGCTGGTCTAATGACTGAGAAGGTTACTGAGGAAGTCAAAGGAGAAGCAAAACCCTTGGCTGGATGTGGGACCGAAGACGATGCCCCCGCCTGAGCATCATTTCCACAGCTATGTTTTGGTCTCTCCAGCGGAGAAGCCTTAGGTGAGGGCAGGCTGCCATTTCCCACCTTACGCTGGTAGACTCATTGACTGCACTGAAGGCAGCCGGAGCTCCTCAGTTCCCGCCACACCACCAGCTCGATTCCTGGGACTGACATCCCTTTTTGGGAGGTTTCACGGACTGTAGTCAGACCTGAGGTGTGTCTACCTTTGCCACACACCTCTCAACTGGCGTCTCACATGCAAGAAAATTACTCACGTTTGCCATATCCCGAGCGTCACAGAAGCCAACCATAGTAGTCCAACTATAAAGAACTTAGGCAAATAGAAAGTTAAACACTTTCTTTCTCCCTGAAAAGCAATAACAAAGCAAGAGAGATAAAAGTGGGATTAATACCTTTAGTCCACCGTCAGTCCCTGACGATCTATATTAGACACAGACCCCGAGGTCTGTGCGGTGTGCCGCCCACTATCTGGGTGGAGCAGCAGGTGTGGGGGTGGCGCGCTCACCTGCACCCGGATGCCGTGGTATACACAGAGCCAGAAGAGCAACAGGGCACACAGGAACAATGACTGGAAGAGGTCGTCCAGCATGCCTGGGAGCCAGCTGTTCACCAGGAAGGAGAGCGGGAAGAAGGGGTCTGGAACAGGGACAGGGGATGGGGGCATGAGCACGAACACACCACCTGCCTCTGGCTTGCAGTCCCTAACAAGGCGCCCCGTCCTTCCTCTCCCTGTTGGAGGCCCTTCCTCCAAGTAACAACGTGTCAGCACACCTTCAACCTTCACCCCCTCCAGCCAGGACACCCCTCACTCCAGCTGTATCTCTCCAGCCATGGTGCCCCCTCCCTCCCGAGGCTGCAGCTACTATTCTGTTTCTCAGACGCCAGCCACCTGCCCACAGGTTGCCCAGACAGCTGTTAGCTCTCAGCAGCACTCCTCCTAGCAGGTGAGGCCGAGCTGCCAGCTCAGGAGAAAGCACCTTTGGGCAGATCAAGAGCATGGACAGTGACTTGGCCACGTTCCACCAGATCCCAAGGCTGCAGGGCCTGTGGCCAGGCCAAGCTCACCTGCCAGAGCAGGTCCTGGCTTCTAACAGTTCCCAGGGAGCTGAGAGCAGGCACCAGACACTCCTCCACGGGGTCCCCACAGCTGCTTTTGCCTTCCAAGGAGGACAGTCACAGCCCCGAGCAGCACCTACCATTGTACAGCAGCAGGAGCGGCAGCAGTATGGACATCCACCTCTGCTCAATCCCCCAGTCTCTCATGGAGAACTTCCGCAGCGAGTGAGCAAATAGGCACTACAGAAGAGCCAGGCAGTTACCCCTACGGGCACCTCTCCACATCATGCCATCCCACACTCCCGGCTGCACCATGGTCTGTGTGTCAACAAGGCCCTGGCTCCCAAGGTCATCAGTGACCACCATGATGAGATGGGGGAGCAGCAGAGCACCCCAAAACTCACTGCTGTTGAGTCAATTCCAACTCATTGTGCCCCAACAGGACCAAGCAGAACACTCCCTAGGGTGTCTGAGGCTGGAGTGGAAGCAGACTGCTCATCTTACTCCACAGAGCAGCTGGTGGGTTCAAACCATCATCTTCCAGTTAACGGTCCGATGCTTAACCTGCTGAGTCACTGAGACTCCTTAACCAAGTACCTAACGGCCCTACAAGAAAAAGTGCGTGCCCTAGCGCCTCTATCAGGGCCCATTCCTGGGGTGACAGTGACATCCACAAACACAGCAGCAGCCTGAGGGGTCCCAGGGGCCCCAGATGAAAAGCCCAGGGCTCGGCTCACGCTGGGTTGAACGTTGGCAAAACAAGGGAGAGGTCCTTCTACTGCTTTCAAACACTGCTCAGTTTGTGATTTTCAGGCCTGGCTTAGTTTCTGAAATGAAGCAATAACTTTCTAGACAACACCTGGATTCTCTTGCCCGGTAGGCCATTGTCCAGTCCCAGTTATCTGACAAGCTTCAGGCCTTCCTCTCTGGCTTAAGAATATATTAAGGAAGGGCCTTGGGTCCCAGCCCTTTGGGCCCCATAATGTGGCAGCCGAATTCCAGACGAGAGATCTTTCAAGAACAAGCAAGGGTTTGATGGACCAGGTATGAATGCCAGCTTTCCACTCATTCACTAAGTTCACCTGGGGCCTCTGGGCCTGGCCTGAGCTCTGTCACCTGTGCTGCCCTCCCACTCAGTCAACCCCACAGAGCACCAGCACCTGCTCACATGCCCACCACGTACCCACATCCTCTGGAACTCCGTGGGTGCCAGTGGGCGAGGTCACTACTCCAGTCTCCTACATGGCAGCCCACCCCCATCAGTAAGCACAGCCCCACCTCAGAGGCACGCACCAAGGGCCTCTGTCCCACTCCACACCTCCTTCTTCAACTGACACTCATGCACCATCCCTGATGGCGTGTCTGTGGGCATGTCTTGGGTTTTAAAAGTAAGCATCCCCCATCCCCCAGAGAGTTACAGTGAGCTTTGGAACATAAACTTCAGATCCCAAATGAGCCCAAAGCCTGTGTTTCTAGAAAAAGAGCAAAGACTGAAAGGTCCCGTTTATAAAACCCTAGGTGTATGCATTCACAGGCAAAGAAAGGAGCTTCGATGAGGGCAGCTTCCCGTGTGTGTATTCATGGGATGCCACTGAATCAGGAGGAGAATGACTTCAAAGTTAGGGCCCTGGAGTCGTCACTACATGGCAGAGTCCTGCTCAAAGGGCCCAGCTCCTCCAGGCTGCGTCCTTTCAGCACTGTAGCATCGACATGGACAGAGAAGACATGAATCGTAAAAGCCCCGCTGTGACTGCGGCTCTCCCCCATGAGCCCAGCCTCGGTGATCCTAACTAAGTCAACCAGCTTCGTCCTTGTGGGGATGCTGACGGAGTTTGACAGAAAAATGGTACTTACAGTGACAAGGAAGGTCAGCACCACAAAGACAAATCGGAACCAGATTTCCAACTGGGAAAAGGCAGGGTTGTAGGTCTTCCACTGAAACAGAAGCGGGGGGGTTTGAGATGTTTAAAACTACACCTGTGCCTCAGAGGAACTATACCAGAATACTACTAATAGTTCTCTCTAGACTTGAGGACATGGATAATTTAAACATACTCTTTCCTTACACTTTTCTACTGTTTCATTCTAATTTTGCACCTTTATGTTAAAGAAGACGACACACAATAAGTCTTAATTACCAAGAGTTGAAACTAGCTGGTGGTTAAATTGTCCTATACTAATGATGACTCTGGAGTCCTGGTGTGGCATTGTAGGATAAGCACTGGACTGTGAACTGCAAGATCAGCGGTTCAAACCCACCAGACACTCCTCAGAAACCCTATATAGGTTTGCTGTTAGTTGGGCCCAATTTGACGGCACTTAACAACAACAATGATGAATCTGCCAGATACATGATCCTATAATCACAGTAAGAACATTTGGATATTATAGTCCCCCAAAATTAACTTCATCAATTAGAAAAAGACCTGGTTTCTTTGAAAATAAGCAATTAAAGAATTACACAAAAAAATGGGAGTAAGAAGCTCTTTAACAACAACATGAAAGTGTAGGTAAAATATAGTAACAGGAACTTGAACCCTCGGAGTAAAACTGCCAAGAAGGGCGTCAGTTGGCACGTTGACGGCATGGCTTCCACTCACTCGAGCAGAGGCTGCCACGCAAGGCTGGAAGGGCAGACAAGAGACCAGACCCAGAGCCCTGCAGCGTCCTAGGCCAGGGACCTTCAGACACTGCAGGGTTTGTGAAATGACCCAACCACAGAGAAGAACACCTGGCAGGTTCTTAAAAGTAAACGTAGCCAACCACCTGGGTGTGTTACCCCAAGGGAGATGAAAGCACACGTCCAAAGACAACACTGTGGTCCAAATGTCCATCAACAGGGGAGTGGATACTGGCTGTGCCTACCCAGTGGGGCATTACCACTCAGCAGAGAAAGGACTAGACCAGGAACACAGCCTAAACTGTCTAACCCAAAATAGGGGTGCGAGAGTCACACAACAGAGTCCTTCGTTCATTGCAAATACCATAGGAGCATCACCCCCTGCCCCCACTCCCCCACCACGAAATAGCAAGGAGAGTAGCGGCAGCCTGGAGGTGAGAAGGGCACGAGGAAATGTGTGCTGGTATGTCATCTAGGTAACGGTGATGGCTTCCTGGGCATGTGTGTGTTACTGGGCCTCAATGACACCTCTGTGAAATTGCTACGCAAAAATCAATAGTTAACAATTAATGTTATAAGAAAGCGGACATCAAAAGTTCTGATGTCGGAGAACTGGGTTCAAATACCAGCTGTTCCATTTCCTGTTTCTTCTCCATGAACTGGGTGTGATATAACTTATGCTGTAGAGTTAGCATGACGTTTCAACAAGATGATGCCTGGCAAAGAGCCCAAGGTTCAGCCATGACGCTAACCACAGCCGCAGACATTGTGGTCCGTCCGTCATCCTGTCATTACGATCACAGCAGCTACTGTTGCTAAGGACTGTCAAGTCGCTTCCATCTCATAGCAAGCTTGTGTAGGGTTTCTGAGGCTGCACATCTTTGCAGGAGCAGAAGGCCTCGTCTTTCTCCTTCAGAGTGGCTGCTGGGCTCAAACCACCAACATGGTGGCTCTCAGTCCAGTGCTTATCTTACAGAGTCACCACAATCTGTAGACTAAGCAGTGATCACAGGCCACTAACTGGTGTGAACATTGTACTCAAACAGAAAAAAGGTCGGTCCAGTCCCTTAAGACACAGACACAACCCACAAGGGGAAAAAAGAAGTACCACCACCAGGAAAAAACGATAAAATGTGCTTAAAGTCACAGTGAAAAGAGAATACTGTTGTACCCTCGGAAAGTTCGATTCTGTCAGAACAGCCACAAACAAATCTGTGGAAGTGGCCGGGATTGCGCAAGCAAATGGCTGTGGCTGAGAAGGCGGCGTCCCACTGGGCTCTGGGTTTTATGGTTTCTGGTTTTGGCTTTTTTTTTGGACAATGATGGAAAGTTTTATTGAGAGCTCAAGTTTTTTAAATGTATCTCTCCTGAGGGCACATGAGTCACGGCATCTGGGCGGGAATCCCAGCAGCCCTGCCCTTTCTGATGAGCAAGATCACACTTGGCCGTGATCCAACCACCTGGCTCCATCAGGCCAGCGTCTGTGATTTACGAACCTAGACTCACACTGGGGACCATCATGTCCCTGAGTGCATCTCTCACCATGACGCTCCTGAGTGCCACTGTGATGTGGCACTCGGGGGGGCGATCCGACTTCCTAAGCTAGGAACAGACCAAATGTAGGCAGTCGCTCCCCTGAAAGTGGGTAGTTTGCAGTTTGGGGCCATTAAGTACATGCTGCTACACATCCTCAGCATGCATCTTTGGGTGAGCAGTCATGCTTACTTCACAAGCAGGGTGCGAGAGCACCTACATCCTGGCCAGCACTTGGCATTTTCCATCTTTGTCGTGTGTGTGTGTGTGTGTGTGTGTGTGTTGGGGGTCAGTCCTGGTGTGGTGCTGCAGTGTTAGCACTGGACTGTTAACCACATGGTCAGGGGTTCAAACCCACTAGCCTTCCTCAAAAACCAACTTGACAGCATTTAACAACTGCAACAGTGTGTGTGTGGAGTCCTGGTGTGGTGCTGTAGGAATGCTAAAGCAAGGTCAGCAGTTCAAACCATCCAGCCGCTCCTCAGAAACCCTATAACAGCATTGCTATGAGTCAGAACCGACTCCACAGCACTTCACAACAACAATATGTGTGTGTGTAGTAGCGCTAGAATATTTTCAAAGCTGTATCTAGTCACGTCACCTAATTTCCCATCCACAGAAGTCTAAAGGCAGCTTACAATGAAAAGCCAGATTAGATAAAGCATTTCTTATAGTTTGGGGTTTTTTTCCTTTGAGAAGAAAATAAAGCATGAAGGCTGATCATTTTACACCAGCTGCCTACAGCTAGATGTTGGGGCTTACTGCGGTAGAGAGTTTGGTGTACTCTGACCTTCCCACCAGGGAAGAGCACTGAGTCTCAGCACTGCCTCTCGCACAGAAGCCGCCGTACCAATCAGCCAAGGCTTTCCGCAGGGAGGCTGGGATGAGGCCTCCAACAGCCACTTTACAAACCACAGAGGGCACTTTACATAGGCAACCTCATTTCTTGTAGCCCTGGTGGCTCTGTAGGATAAGCACTGGACTGCTAACTGCAAAATGGGCAGTTCAAACCCACCAGCAACGCCGAGGTAGAAAGAGAGGCTTTCTGCTCCTATAAAGACTCGATGGCAGTGGGTTATGTTTCTTTGGTGTTTGCTTTTTTAACCTAATTTCCCAACGCATCTCTACACAGCAGGAGCAGTTCGGTGGCTCCTCAGCCGCCTACTATTCCAGAGAAACCAGTGGCTGCGGACCTGCAGCGTCCCTTGCTGTCTCAGGACTGTTATTTTTAATCACTTCCTCTTTTAGTTATAAAGGTTCTACGAATGTCTGTTAGAGGGAACAGAGGAAACCGAACGACAGTGTCCTCTAGACAGTTTTTGAGAACAGCCGCATCTGTAATTCAGGCGCGTTTCTCCCCTTGACAGGTCAGTGTGTCAGTGTGGTCTGTGTTAGCTATACTGCTTTGTAAGCAGCTCACGACTTTCTCAGCAGGGAGGGGACCCCGGCTTTGGGGACCTGAGCTTCTGATATGGGGGTGGGATCACTTGAACACACAGCATGATGACCTCGCCCATGTCACAGAGGGGGGCACGTACAAAAAAGTGGTGAACCGACAAATGTTTCGTTATATACATGCAACACAGTAAAACAATTTCCAAAAAGAACAGAGATAGGAGGGTCTCGCGGTTGGAGCTCAGTTGGCGAGGCGGGGGGGGGGGGGGAGAGCACCCGGAATGAGTGCACCATTGCCAGTATGTCCGCCTTCAAAGAAGGGTGAGCCTGAAAACACCCAAACTGCCCTCAACAGGCACTGCTCCAGGCTCCTCCTTTTTTAAAAAAAAAACATGTTTTCTTGTGGATCAGGTGTGGTTTCACAGAGCAGATCATCCGTTTTCCACTCAGCAGTACAAATGCATTTACTTTCATCTCACTGACTGCACAGCCCTCATCCCACTCCTGCCCTGGGCTTCCTGTTTCCCGTCCGCCTCCTTTCCTAACCTTCTGAATCCCAAATGGTTGGTTCTTCTACAGTGTTTCCCTTACATTCCCATCTACGGTTCGCCTGAAAACTGAGCCACCAGGTGAGTTCAGTTTCAGACCAGGAGAGTTACCAGGGGCCACAGTCTCCATCCAACAACGCTCCCTCTCCTAAATCCCAGAATGCCACTCAAGTTGCCTGGCTTCTCTACTGTTCCTTCTAGCTAATCTTGATTCTATGCTTTACAAGCTTTCCATAGTCCAAAAATAACATGAATTAGAAGCTGAGATTGATTTCAATAATTCAACAGAAGAATGGGAGTGAAAGCTGGAGCCGTGGAAACACCTGCTGGCAGGTGGGATACTCACTGTAAAGTTCATCTCCTTGATGTGCAGCTTCAGGTGTTCAAACCCCACCACCACGGTGTACTGCGTATAATTCAGGTAGCCGAGGTGAGCCACAATAATCTCTGCACATTTCTGTAAACACACACGGCACACAGTGCTCTCACTCCCAGCCAGCAAGAGCGGCTCCCCCACCACATACCAGTGACAGATGCTCAGACCCCAACACCCCCAGGGAACTTGCCAAAGAGCCCAGAACAATTCTGATACCAGCCAAAACAGTTCCTAGAAAGCAAGCACCAAATGGCTATTTTTGGAAACAAATATTTATGGTTCATCATTACTAGAAATCTTTTTACTTCAGGTGATTCAAATTCATGTCACCAGTAGAAAATCATTAAAATGCTAATACAGATCTGCCATTTCTGTGCCTGACCCAAACCATGGATTTTCAATCGCTTTATATGCATGTGAAAGGTGAACAGTGAATAAGGAAGACCGGGAAGAACTGACGTCTTTGAACTATGGTGTTGGCAAAGAATATTGAATATGCCACGGACTGCCGGAAGAACAAACAAATCTGTCTTGGAAGGAGAACAGCCAGAGTTCTCCTTAGAAGGGAGGAGGGTGAGACTTCTCATGGACTTTGGACATGTTATCAGGAGGGACCAGCCCCTAGAGAAGGACACTAAGCAGAGGGTCAGTGACCAAAGAGCAAGACCCCAATGAGATGGCCTGAGAGTGACAACACCCACAGGTGCAGACACAACGACAAATGTGAGGGCGGCTTAGGAAGGGACAGTGACAACACCCACAGGCACAGACACAACGACAACTGTGAGAGAGGCTCAGGAAGGGACAGTGGTGTGCTCTGTCCAGCTGGACAGCACCTGACAGCGGAAGGAATGTCAGCCAGGACACCACACATGAGACTGCGGCCCGAGTCTGTGTCCAGGGCCCTTGTGCCATGGCTGTTGACAAGGCAGAGTGAGCACAACAAACTGCTCTTTCTCCCTGTCAGTAACCACACCCTCAAATCTCTCCCCGTCAGCTTGCCAGTGTCCACACTCAGCCTCCTGCCCCCACATTCCGAATCTGTGTTCGGGGACAGGTGTGTGGAACAGCTAGTATGATCACATAGACATAGTGCTTACTTATCTGCCAGGTGCCTCGACTTTATTCAGACCCTCTCAGAGGGGCCAGGAGGAAGCCTCACTCCAGGATGCAGATGCGGGACTGCCTGTCCGCACACACACCGGCAGTCACCACCCCACACACCTGAGCCCCAGAATCCTCCCCACTCTCCTAGGCCACAACCAAGTCCAACCTCTGCCCTCAACAAGCAGCCAGCCTGCCGTGTCCGGGTGGCACCTGTGAAGGCTTGGCTCTGAACGGGCTGAAAGAAGCCCCATCAGTTTGGAATGAAAAGTACCAGAGGCTGCCTTTCAGCTTGAAGGTTCCCAAGTGGAATGTCTGAGGTCAGGCAAAGAAGAGAACTGGGTTTTGAGGGTGACTGGTAGGAAGGGGGTTAATGTGAGGGATAAGAGGGAAAACACAGGAGAGACACATGGGGTGCCAAGAGTGTTAGGACAGCAGAAAGACCACCAGGTAAACGCTCCAGAAACCCGAGTGCGAAACAATCTCAGATTCACTTGGAATCCAGAGTTTTTGAAGCAACACAGACTGGCTGAACCCTAAAACTACTGCCCTGAGATCATCTTCAACCCAACAAAGAAAACATCCCCTGAAGTCTTAGAAACTCTAAGCAATAGTTTAGCTTCACAGGAAAGGATGTCTGCCTTGGGCACTGTGCTGTTTCCAGAACTATTTGGGATCAAATGGACAACAGTAGCTGAAAGATCAGACAGGAACTTTAGGAATGACGTGTTTGTGTTCACGGGGGAGGAACCGGTCAGAAAAGGAGGAGAGTGGTGAGCAGTTACACAACTCCAAGCACGGCACCATGCGCTGCACAGGAGAAACTTGAGCTGCTCATATTCTCTACAACAAAAATAAATAAAACTGAAAACATACGCACGCACGCAGCCCCAGCCTGCTCTGAAGCAGCATTCCCCAGGGCCGGCTGGCCCAGCAAACTGACACATGTTCCTACTGGTCTCAGACCCCTCTCCAGCCCACAGTGCAGCGTCTAAGGGACAAGTAGTTGAGCTGTGGGGTCTCCCCCAGGGGTTCTGACCGCCAGCCTTCAGGACATGTGCAGATTCAGCCCTGGTCTAAACAGAACCATCTGCCTTCTGTCTTTTCTGTCCTCAAGCCGGTGCAGAGAGGGGCGGCCGGGTACTTGACCCAATACCGGCCAACAGCTTCACCTCCGCAGACACCTGTGCTGCATTGAGAAGCACTTTGTGCTGGATAGAAAGTAAGGTGGTGGTTCAAACACACCAGCCGCTCCCTGGAGAGTCGGAACTGACACGATGGCACTTAAAAACAACAACATACAATGGTGTAATTTGCTGATTTTATGATTCTTAAGCCAGTTCACAAAGACAAGTAAAACTCTGATTTATAGGCAGTGACAATAAAAGGAAACAGTACAGAAAACTGAAACAGAACCGACTCACAAGAGAGCGTGGAAAGGGCTCCCTGCAGGGACTGGGAGTGTCGACAGTGGGGAGGGGGAGAGGAGAAGTCTCCAAGGAGCTGATGGGAGAAACCAAGCAGGGTCACCATGGGTGGGGGAAGGGAAGCCGTGATGACCAATGGACTGAGCTCCAAGGACCAGGCATGTGAGGCCAGGGCACATAGGAACGTTCAAGGGGCTGTGTGAAGCAAAAGCTTTAGGTAGGCAACCAACTCATCCCAGTCTGCCTGACACATCCAGTTTTACAACTGACCATTCTACACTCAAAGAGCTGTGGTAGCGCAGTGGTTACGAATCGGGCTGCAAGCCGCAAGGCCAGCAGTTTGAAACTACCAGCTGTTCTGCAGGAGAAAGATGAGGCTTTCTGCTCCTGTAAAGATGTACAGCCTCGGAAACCCTGTACAGGGTGGCTATGAGCAGGAACCGACTCCATGGCACATAACAACAACAACATTCTACACTCGGGCAAACGCTACTCAGACCAGGGACAACCGGGGTGATGAATGGCCCCGGTTTTGACACCTCCATCTGGGAAACAGCAGCACCAGCAAAGAAACAAGGGGCGTCCAAGAATGTTTTGAAGCCCCCTCGTCCATTCCAGACACCCTGCCTGGAGCTCCCCCATCCAGCAGAGCTGCCTGTCCCCAGGAGGCTCTCACTTTCCTAGGTCTCTGTTTTTCTTGGGTACACGGAGCTCTCGTAGTCACTTCTCCTTCCTGTGTGAAGGGGTGGACAGAGCTTGGATGCCCAGTCACAGAACCAACACACTTGCTGGCCTGTGATGTGACTTTTCTCATCCTGATGTCACAGGGTGGACCTTCCGGGGAGCTCTCCAGGTCCCTGACTAGGACTCCCTAGGCAGAGGCCACAGAACACAGCTGACCGTAACTGCAGGCATCCAGTTAAAGGACTCGCAAGGCAGTGTGTTCAACAAAAGGGAAAACATTTGCTCAGGGGTGGGGTGGGGGGAGGGGTGTGTGTGTGTGTGTGTGTGTGTGTGTGTGTGTGTGTGTGTGTGTGTGTCGGTGTACATGCATACATGCAGAACTCTGGAAGAATCTCTGGGGGCCTCAGGGAATGAATTCATGTGAGCGCTCACACCATCACTGGTAAGACTCGATTTGCTTACGAAGTAGTGTCTTACCGAGCTCTGCCCACACAGCCGACAGCCAGGACGCCATCTGTGAATGTACAGCATGAGGAGGAAGCAGGGAACTTTCACAAGCACTTACCCCAGCACAGGTGAGGGTCCTGGTCCGATTGTGGACTTTGTTATGAATGAACCTTACATGTCCACCTGGAGCTACGCCGTCAACTTTAACAGTCATGGGAAAGCTCGTCTGAACAGAAGTTTCTACAAAAGAAAGGGGAAATGGGAGTGTGACAGTCCCCAGCTCGGACACCTTCCTTACACAGGAACAGGCATGCTGCCAGGCTCTGCAGAGGTCTGAGAGGCCGGAACACACAGGAGGGCACTGAGCTTGGTGGAGTGTCGACTCAACAAACTCACATCTGTCAATCCCAGTGATGCCTTCCCATTGGCTACACTGCCACCCACTACAATGGTGGCCTGAGTGTCCGAGCTAGGGACTGTCACACTTCACACAGACCTGCAAGGTCCAGTTCACAAGGGGCTGCAACTTCATGGCTAATGAAGTGAACGATTTTCATTTTCCACATGAGTCTTTAACTTTACCACCAAAATAGAAGATTTCTTACATTTTCTGATTATATAATTTATTCTACTGTCTGATTATTCTTTGAAAAACAAAAATTCAGAAAACAAAGTATATAAATAGTTCTGGTGTGGCACTGTAGGATAAGCACTGGACTGCTAACTGCATGGTCAGAGGTTCAAACCCACCAGCTGCTCCTCAGAAACCCTATACTAGGCTGCTTTGTTGGAACTGACCCGACGGCACTTAACAACAATATATATGTTGTTGTTGTTGTAAAGTGCTGTCGAGTGGGTTCCGACTCATAGCAACCCTGTATAGGGTAACCAAGAAGCAGCTGGTGAGCTTGAACCACTGACCTTGCAGTTCAAAACCACGGCTTTGCAGTCTGGCGCATTAACTCACAGCACCACACCAGGACTCACTCTCTCTCTCTTTCTCTCTCTACATATATATATATATATATATATATGTATTGAAGAGCAGAAGGAGCTCTGGTAGCGTAGTGGTTACGAATCGGGCTGCGAACCTTAAGGTCAGCGGTTCGAAACTACCAGCCGCTCCGCGGGAGAAAG